GCTTTCTAGTATTTTTTAAAAATAAAATAATTATAATAGTATAAATATTCTAATTATTTATAGAATTAGTAAATTTTTTATTTTATATACTATTATTTCTATATATAATGTCACGATTCCCAGATGCCCGGCATCTGAGATGCCTCGCCAGATGCCAGATGCCTTCTAGGCGCACGTGACGCGGCCGCCTCGCTAGGGAAGTATGCTTGGAATGCACTGGAGATATTTAGAAGGCTAGCCCCTTCGGGACTAGCGCACTGTGGGGTGCATATACTCCCTCGCAGCCTCCTGTATTCTAGTTTTCCCTTCCTTAGCTTTGAATCGTCTTCGTAAGGGACCTTCTACCTTGCTTTCCAAGCCCTGAATGCCGTACCCGTAATATATAATATTTATCTTTATTTTTGCTAAGAATAATTAACTAAATAGAATCTTTAAAGCTCTTTTAACTAGAAAGCAAATATCTTTATATTTTATTCTATTTATAACTTTAGTTCTAAGTTTTATTATTTCCATAAATTCAAATTTAATATTAGTAATAATAAATATTTAATAATCTATAATATTATATATTATTTTACTAATATTTCTAGAGATTTTTTAGAGAAGAATATTAATCTTAGCTCTAGTATTAATTATTTCTTTATATTTAATATTATTTTATAATTCTCGAAATATAAATTAGAAATATAGAGATTATATAATATATTTATAAGTTAGTAATATCTAAATATTAATATTATTGCCTTTAAATTAAATAATTCTATTAGTATTAGATACTTAAATTAATATTTCTAATTTCTTAAATATTTTATTTATTATATAAGCTATAGCTACTAGTTCTATAGATTTTCTAATTTGCCTAATTATATTTAATATAATAGTATTTCCTATTTATAGAATAGTAAAATAAAAAGTATTATTCTTAATTTATTAGTTTTAAAGTATAATAGCTAAATCTAGTATTTTTAAAGCATTAATAAGTATTCTTATTTTTTTCTGAGTTTTTAGAAATAAAATAGTTATTTTCTTTAGTAATTTTATCGGAATATTATTAATTTTAAAAGTTCTATACTTATTATAATTAAAAGTAAATTAGATTCCTAATTTATTCTATTTATCTCCAGAAATATTAATATTTATATTCTTAGCTAGGCTATCTTTTTATTTATTATTTCTTAAAGTAGTATTTTTCTAGTCTCTTATATAAAATAGCTTTTTTTTAGCTTTAGCTTATTTTTAGAAAACCTCTTTAGCTATTTCTATCTCTTTTCTTTTTTTCTTTAATAAGAAACCTATTATAATATTAATAGAAATACTATTTATAGCTAAATCTGAATACTATTTATTAATTTTAGAATCTAAAGTATTAATAATTCTAATATAATTTCTTCTAAAATAAAATAGCTATTTAGATTTCCTAGATTTAATTTATTTACTTTTATATATAAATTCCGGTTACCTAGTTTCCTTATTTCTTTCTTGCCTAGTAAATTAAATATTTTCTATTACTTTTTGGAAATTCTTAGATTAAGTATTTAAGTTATAATTAAATTCTTTTTCTTAAACTTAGAAAATAATTTAGTTAAACTACTAGTATTTACTAGTAAAGAAAAAAGAAATGCTTTTTTATTTAGGCTTAAATAAGTCTTTATATTATCTTTTTTTAAATTAGTAAATATATTTATAATTTATAAGCTTTTCTATTAATAAATAATAGAACTAAAAGATATAAATATATTCTGAATTAATAATATTATTATTATCTCTATTATAGTATTTATAATAAAATCGTTTTTTTGATTCTAAATTTATATTATAGGCTATATTAATTTAAATAGCATTTTCTAATTATATTTGAAACTAACTTTTTTTAGAATATAATTATTTAGTTTCTTTATCTATTTTAGCTTATTTATTATAGCTACTATAGTATTTTCTATAATTTTTATTATAATTTCTAGTATATTTTTCTCGAAAACCCGAATTATATTTATTAGGCTATTAATATTATTATTTCTACTAGAATTAGCTAGCTTATATAAATAGACTCTAAATATTTTCTCGAATTATAATAATAGCTATATTAAATTATCTCTATAGGTTTTCTTGAGTTATAGTAATAATAAATAGTTTTTCCAGGCTTTTTACTAGCTAGTTAATATTATTTCTTTTAGGTTTATTACTTTTAATAGGCTTTATATAATTAGCTATAGGCTAGATTTTCTTTTTATTTATACTTATAATAGATTTAGGAAATATAATAGAAAAGACTAATAAAAAGTAATTATTTTCTAATTTAGGAACTATATTATAAATTATTATATCTAAATATTCTTATTTAAATCTAAATATATTTAAATTATTAGTAATATTAAAATAGTATTTCTTCTTTTTATATTAATAAAATATTATTATTTTCTTATATATCTTATTATATTTATAAATAGAAATATTTATAGGCTTAAAGTTTGTATTTTTAAGAATATAATTTCTTACTAGAATAAATAATTCCCTTATAAATTCCTAGTACTAAATAATTTTATTTATTTCTTTTCTTTTTAATAATTTCTTTAATACTTTATTAAATATATTAATATAAGACTTAGAAAAGATTCCTCTATTCTAGACTTATATAATAATCTAATTAAAAAAGTTATAGCTAATTTTAAGTATTTTCTAGTTATATTCTCGAAATTCCTTTAGTAAGGCCTTAAAGAACTTGGTTTTCTAGTAATTTCCTAAATTATTAGTATAGTATTTTAATATAGCCTTAATTTAATTCTTATAAATAAAAGAAATATAATAAATAATTTTCTTTCTTTTAATATTATTAGAAATATAATAGTTCTTATATATATCTATATACTATTTTAAGAATATAGAAATATTACTTTTCTAAAATTATAATACTTTAGAAGCTTTTATAAATAGTAGATTTAAATCTAGTACTAATATATATTTGTTTTTAGCTATATTAATCTTAATAATTTCTTCTATAACTAATTATAGAATTTCTATATCTGAAACTTTTACTAATAAGATTTCTAAAAAAAACTAACTTTCTATTTAAGTATATCTTTTAGTTTAGAAACTAGAATTTGAGAGAAATTAGTTAATAATAATAAATATAATTTAGATTCGAGTTTCGGTATTAGTAATAATAAAATAATAGCTTTTCTAGTTTTATTTCTATTATTTATATATTTTTTCCCTATTTTATTAGCTTAATACCTATAGTATTTTTACTTAATTTTACTAAACTAGATATATTTAATAATATTACTAAAAGTAATAATAATAATAATAAATATAATTTTACTAATTTCTTTAATTTCTCTAAATTCTCTTTTTTATCTTTATTTAGTATCTTTTTTTTTCTCTAGAAACCTCTCTAAATTATTTATATAATTTCTTATTTCCGATTTCTTTTTAATTTTTATTTCCGGTTTCTATTTACTATTTTATTTAAAATTAAAGATATTTCCTATTTTAAGTATCTTTTCCGTATTTAGAAGCAAGCTTTATATAACGGCGGGATTAAGGCAATGGCCAGGGCTTAAAAATCCAGGAAAATCCCATATATTGAGAATACTAAGCTAAAGAGAAGAAGGAGAGAGAGAGAAGGAAAGGGGATAAAAGAAGGGAAGTACTAGCTAAAACTATTGAAATGCCGGCTAGCTAGGTGAAACTAGTTATATAATAGCTATTTCTAGCCAGTATTATTATACTTTATTACTAAAACTAAAGTTATTTCTATTTCGGTTTTTATTATAACTAAAAATAATATATAAATTAATAATATAACTTTATTTCCATATACTAAAGTCTACTTCTAACTAAGATCTAACTTATACTATTTTAGTATAATATTTTCTATTTTATTTCCTTTATTTCTTTTCTTTTTATAATTAGCCTCTATTTTTATTATTCTTATATATTATATTAGTAATTATAGCTTATAGCTAACTTGTATCTAAGTTACTAGATATATTAGAAATTAATATAAGATACTAAAATTAATACTTATATATCCTTAATATTTTAGCCTTAGGCTCAAGATATTATAATAGCCCTTTTTTCCCCAAACTTACTAAGCTAATAATCCGCCTTATAGAAATCCCTTAGAACTTTATAAAAGTATTATTTTAATTATAAATCAAGAGATTACAGGTTTTATTCCTATATTGCTTATTATAAAATATATGAAAAGAAAACTATAATAAGATAAAAACCCATATAAAGTATATTAGAGTATAAAATATAACTTAATAGTAAAAATAATAGAATTAAAGGTATAAATAGTAAAGTATAAATAGTATATAGTATATAAAAGCTTAATTAATTAAATATAAAAGAGGGATTATTATCTAGAACTATAGAAAAACTAGCTTTCTTATATAATTCCCGCAAGTTATATATAAAAGGCCCTAGCCTTTATTATATAACCAAAACCTCAAAACTGTTAAAACAAAGCGATTTTAATAGAGTATGGCTTGCCGTACTACATTATATAATAGAAGTATTTGGATAATATAAAGATTATTAAATTATTACTTGATTGAGGTACTAGTACCAAGATTATAAGTAAAGATAACGTTATGCCCTTATATAAAGTAGTATGGAAGAATCTACCTTTGGTAATCAAGCTTTTAGTCATATAAGGTATAGACGTGAACCGCCGAGGGGACTATATAGGATTACCCTTAGATGTGGCAGCGCTACAGGGGTATTTAGAGATGTTTAAAATCCTCATGGATAGTGGAGCTAAACTTATGGCGGAGCCTGATAAAGGAGTATTCACCGTCGAACGGGCTAAACAGGGTAAGAATCATGAGATTATCAAGTTAGTAATGTCTAAGCGGCGCTGGCCTAAGTAATGGAAGTGACGAAAGTGAATAGCTATGACGGGACAGTTGCCTTGCTTGAGTGTTATTCATTCTTTTGGAGCATACCGATATTTTATTTTTTAAGTATCTCTATTGTTAATTTGTAATAAGTCCTTCTATAATCTTCCAACCGTTTTTAAAGACGCCATTGTTTTCACGATGAAACTAGGCTTCGACTTCATCTTGATTGATGCTCTCTGTATAATCCAAGACTCACACTCTGACTGGACTCGGGAGGCTTCTAGAATGCACAAAGTCTATAAGAATGGTGCTCTCAATATTTCAGCTCTGGCGGCAGCTAGTGACCCGGAGACGGCATCATTGTATGTGGCCAAAGAATCGGCCGTTCCCGCATTCATGGCAGATGCGCTGTGGCTAAACGATGTGAGAACATATTGCGTTATCCCGGAAGATTCTCATTTTAGAAGCAGCATCGATACAGCGGAATTGAACCAAAGGGGATGGGTATTCCAGGAGCGGTTCCTGAGCCCTCGGACATTAAGCTTCGGGGCACAACTATTCTGGGAATGTGCTCATGGAGAGAGCTGCGAAGAATTCCCACAGAGATTGCCACCGGCAGTCCGATCGTTTTAACCTTTCAAGTCACAACAATTGAGAGGTGATCCCAGTGACGATGATCCCAGTGACGATGATCCCCCAGTTGACTATATAGCGTTGGATAATTCCATACCTGCATTCTACAAACACTGGCGGCAACTCATCAAATCGTACTCCAGATGTTAATTTACTACAAACTCGGATCGCTTGCCAGCACTGTCTGGAGTTGCCATGGAACTGGTCTTGCAATACCCCGCTCATGGAGACAAGTACCTAGCTAGACTTTGGGAAGGCGACTTCCTTGAAGAGTTGATTTGGTGCGTAACTGACCCTTGGCTGCATTCCCGGACCGAGGAGTCCTATCGTAAAAATGCTACAAAAGAATCGTCCAGCGCAGCAGTGGCAGTTACATCCATCCCGTCCTGGTCCTTGACGTCGTCGGATTTCCCAGTCAAATTCTCGAGAGAGTACTATCGAAAGCATGGCGCTAAGGAACTTTGCAGGAAGGAGAAGGTGGATATTTTCTTAGAAAATGAGGAATATCCCTTTGGACTTGTTATGGGCGGTGTGGCCAAGATTCATGGACGATTATATCGAGCCTCAGAATCGGCAATCTGGGAGGAGCATGGGTCGAGCCACTACGATTTCCAGAACAACCTATTCTTCTCATACCTACATTCAGTCCCAGATAAGCACGCCGTACGGATGGACTCGAAGCGTTCAAATAGCCTTGGCGACAGACTATACATATTTCCGGTGATGGCCGAAACCCATCCAGGAGACTGGAACTCTCGCAATTTGGACATATTCTGCCTAGTCTTGACGAGCCTCACGGCAACGTTAGAGACCGAAGGCCACACTAGTCTGTTTTCAAGAGCCGGACTGGCAAAGTTAATAGGGACAGTGCAAGAAGGGATTATCGCGTTCTCTAAGGGCTCGAAGGAATTGCTACTAGGAGACTGCCTTGGAGAAAGGCTGATTAAGATTCGATAGATAACCCGGATATTATTATCACGATCCGACTAAACTGTTATGACACGTGCGAACCCAGGGCTCGAGGATCGACAGGCAGCGGCCTATATAGAGAACCCTAACGGTATTCCATGCGCGAAAACATCACAAAACGCGAGATCACCGAATCCGCATCTTCAAAGCCCTCTGGTTCAACCTCCTTCTGCTGGAGCTCGGCCTCCAGATCTACAATTTGCTGTTCGAGCTCTTGGATTCTGGCGCTGAGCTTCGTATTTGTTGTGATTGAATGTCCCGACTCTTCCTGATTGCCCAAATCTTCCGCATCCTGATACTTTGCGTCTCTATGCATTTGGACTCTAACTCACTTCTGAGCAGTGTGTCAAAAAAGTAATCAAGAATTTTCGAATATTCATGAATATTCATGATTAACTTGATTAGAATATGATTACCGGAATGCTCAAAAAATTTGATTAGATTAGAATATATATTCATGAATATTCATGAATATTCATGAATACAAGTGATTACTCGTTACGTAACTATAATAAATCAAGGTTTACTTAATAATTATTAAATAATTAGAGTATTTATTAAGCAACCCTATTTAAACTAAGCTAGGGCTTATAAAATACTAGCTAAATATTAATTTTCTAGAATAATAAATGGATTATTCTCCTCGAAATCTTGTTTTTTTCCTCTTTGCTTTTCCTTTTTAATCTCTTCTAATTTATCTTTAAATAGCCCCTAGCTTTTTAAGTAAGATATTAGCTCAAAGGTACTCTTATTAAGTCTATTATATAATTTAGATATAATAAGAGCGCCTTGAGAAAAGAATCTCTTGCTAGTGGCTAAAGAAGCCGGAATTCCCAAATATTTCCTAGCTATTAAAGCTAAAATAGGAAATCTAGTAGTATTAGACTTCTAGTAGTCTAAAAGTTTAGTCTATACTTATATTAGTACTAATATATTAAAATATATTAAGAAAATATTAGCTAGTTATTTAGTAGAATTTAAATAAATTTTACTTACTTTTTTATTTTCTCTCTTTTTTTCTAAATAAGTTATTAATTCGTCTCCTATATTAGAGAACAAATTAGTAATATATATATCTAAGTTATTGGAGTCGGAATCGGCTATACTAAGATCCGAGAAATCGGATTTAGCTTGAGATATATTATAATTATATTTATATCTAAATTAAAAATTAATTATTAATTTATTAAAAACTAATAAAAGGAATTACTTATATATTATAATTAGTCTTTAATCTATTATATATATCCGAAGATATACTAGTAGATAAGCTAATACTAGCTAATTCTTCTTATTTAATTCGAGAATTAAGAATAAGAACTAAATATAAAGCTTTACTTTTATTATCTAAAATACCTGTTTGAGAATAATATTTTCGAAGCTTAGTTATATCTTTATTAATAGTATCTGTAAATACTTTATTTTATTAAATATTAGTATAATATTATTAATAATATAAGAAGAATTTAAAAAAAGACTTATTTTAAATTTCTTTTTAAAATTTTCGAGTTTATTATATATTTTATATACCTCAGATATAATATAATATATAGTCGGATAATTTTCGGCTTATAACTTAGTTATAGCTTTAATAAATATTGAAATTATATTTAAAATATTATTTAAATAAGTAAATTTAATATTAGTTAAAATAAGACTTTTATTTTTAAAAGCCTTTAAATTAGAACTATTAATAATTACTTTAATAGCTTTATATATATATAAAAAGTTCTTTAATATATAATAAGTTAAAGACTACTGTATTTTTTAATTTATAAATAATTAGTATTAATTAATAATTAAATAAATAAATAAATAATTACTTATTAAATTAAGAGAATCGAGTATTTTCTATATTAAAAGCTTTAATTTGAGCTTCTAATAATCGTCGGTTTTCTTAGTTATATTTAAGACCTATAATAGTCTTTCTAATCTTTCTTTAAATTTATAAATCTATAATTATTAATAAATCTCTTATAAATTATATAGGAAACTTACTTATTATTTATTCTTTTTCTTTATTTTCTTCTCTATCTTTAAGTTCTTCTATTTCTTACTTATATTAATCTATAGAATAAGAAGTATTATAATTATTTTTAATAAAAGCTTTTAAAATATCTTAAATTACTAAGTTTAATATATAAGCTATATAAGAAATATCTCCTTAAAATTTAATGCCTTTTTTATTATAATACTTTATAAAAGCCTTTAATAAGGTATTATTTAAGCTAGTATTATCTCGAGTAATACTAAATAAAATATATTAGTAATTATTTTTTAAAAACTAAGATTTATATTACTTACCTAGTAATATTATATTTAATATTATATTATTTTAAAGCTTCTAATAAAACAGAAAGTATATAAATACCAGAATATATATTATTTAAGTCTTTTATAGCTAATAAATAAGACTTTAATATAAAATCTTTATTTATAAAATATCTAAAATAAAATTAGTTTATTTTTTAAAAAAAATTATTTAATTAATAACTTATTAATTTATATAATAATATCAAGAAAGGCCTTTTAATTTATACTTATTTAAATATCTAAAGTAATAGAGAAAATTCCTTAAGATTTAATATTTTCTCTTAATTCTTCTTTAATATTTAAACTTTTTTTAATATAATATAAATTAAGCTTATTTATAAATATCTTTAAATATTAATATATATATATATATAAGAGGGAATTTAATAAAAACTTACTAATTTAAATAAGATATTAGTTTTTTAAAACTAGATATAATAATAGTTCGAAAAGAAATATTATTATTAATAATAAAGTTTAATAATAATTCCTTAAAATAATTAATAGTAAAGCTTTCTTTATTATAATTCAGCTTTTAATCTAGTTAGCTAATATAGTTGCCTATATCCCGTTGCCTCCTAGATATACGTAACGCGGCCGCCTTGCTAAGGAAGTGTGCTTGGAATATACTGGAGATATTTAGAAGGCTAAGCCCCTTATGGACTAGTATACTATAGGGTATATATACTCCCTTATAGCCTCCTATATTCTAGTTTTCCCTTCCTTAGCTTTGAATTGTCTTTATAAGGGACCTTCTACCTTGCTTTCCAAGCCCTGAATGCCGTACCCGTAATAGTATTCAAAGCTCGCTTCCTTTAATTCTATAGAGAATTTTAAATAAACCAATTCCGAACTATTAGAAATATAGGTGCCGCTAAGACGACGGAACCTCAGAAATACGAGTAATAGACTCCAGAATAATAAAAGCGAAAAGCTTTAGAACCCTCAGAGGAATCAGGTATTTATACCTTTATAAATATACGCTAGTAGTATATTAGAAACCCCCCCGAAAACCCGAAAATCGAAGAACCTCGAATAAAGGCTACTCTTTAACCAAATCCTAGAGTAATAGGCACCTATAGGCCAGTAACCTGACTACTACCCTTAAGCCCTACCCTACGACCTTATAGGCCCTATATATACGCCGGTAATAAGACTACCAGGAAAGATATAATAAAGGAAAAGTATAATAGGTCGACTTCCCAGGATACTATATAACCAGGAACTATATCGACTTCCGCCAAGGCTTCTAGTAAAGCTTCTGCTAGTTCAGGTCATTCCGTTAGCGGCCCTTCCCGAACCGAATGTCCCGTTAGCGTTCCTGGAGAATTTATAGATGAGTCTATAGAAATAGAACCCTCTGCTTTTATTATAAAGCTTCTAGAGACTAAAGACTATATTACTGCCGGAGAGTTATACGAATGGGCCAAAGAACCCGATATCTTGCTCTCAGATATTAATATTATTATAAAGAGCTACCGGAAGAATATCTAAAGAGCTATTTTATATAAGAATGCCTATAGTTATAATAAAGCTATTCTCGAGAATATTAAGCTCTATAATATTAAGCTTAAGAATAAAGTCAAACGCTATATAGCTATAGTAGATCGGCTTATAGTAGCTCTAACTACTTCTGCTCCGCCCGCTCCGGCTACTCCGAATTCCTCTTAAAAGAATTCCGAACTATCTCCCGCTTATTTCCGTCTAGGATCCCCTATATCTTACGCTTCCTTTAAAGGTACTAGAGTTACTAAGCTCCCAGATCTAACTCTCTTTACTAGAGATTATATTATCTTTAATAACTGGCTAGTTCAAATTAAGAATAAGCTATAAGGAAATACTAATTTATATTCCTTAGAGAATCTCAAGATTATTTATATTTCTAGTAGATTTACTAGTAATACTCTCGCCCTAACTAACTTTTATATAGATAAAGATAGTTCGAATTAGTACTATTAGCTCTCAGAGTTCTATTTCCACTTAAAGAAGCTATACTTTAACCCTAATAAGATATAGAACACTTGCCGCAACTTTAATAAGCTTTATATATACTCTAGTTAGATATTTCAGAAGTTCTATACTTTCTTCTTATAACTATCTATAGAAGATAGTATTAGTTTTCAAGATATTAAATACGAACTAAATAAGAAGCTCCCGCTAAAGCTCCAGAAGTCGATATATATATACTATAATAACTCTTCTATTAATACTACTTGCTTTACTTAGTACTATACTACTAATAATTAATAGATTAAGGCTATATATAAGAAGACTAAGAAGTATAAGAAGATAGAAGCCGGTCCAGCCAAGTTTACTTCTGGTATTATGCCCTTATATACTTCTAAGAAGAAACTCCAGAAGCCTATATTTACTACTCTAGTTAAATACATACCTCCATATAAGTGCAAGTAATATCCTATAAAGATTAAGGATCTCTTAACTATTAAATACTTTAATTATAATAAGTTCGGCTATTATACCAGATATTGCCCGTATCCGTATAGTAAGGAAACTAAGGTAGCTTTATCTAGGATTAAGCCGGGCCTAGTCCCTATTTCCCCGGAGGAACTATATAGTTTAGTTTCTGAATTTAAAAAGGATCCGAAAAATAAGTATTCTTAAAGAAAGTCTCTATTTTAGGGGCTTATAGTATAGATTTAGTAGAGATTAACTTG